AGTTGACAATGTTATATTAGTTACAGGTGTACAATACAGCGATTCAATAAATAGCATTTATTGATAATGTGAATATACTAAAAATAATTCCCTTTGTTTACCTTTTCTCTTTGGGCCATGTCCCTATGAAACCATCAACATAGGACATAGATGAAGACCTTCTAATTCCTCCTTCAAATGTGAAAAAGAAATAGTCATTGAAAGTATATAAAAAATTTTAACTTACAGCTTAACAGATTTCAAATATTTCAGGAGTCATTAAGAGCATTAAAAAGTAGGTATATATGGAGAAATAGAGATAATTCTATTAAGAAAAACAAGCACAGAGAAACCAATCAACTTTTTAGTGTATATACAACACTTTTCAAAAAAAAAAAAAAACAAAAACCAACAAAAAAACCCGCATATTTTTATTTACATTTATTCTCAATCATTTCCCAGTTAACCTAGGTTTTTTCAAAAATATTACCTGAAGCTGAAGAATGAGCTTCGGGGCGTGAATGTCTAGAAGGCAAATGATGAGAGTGCATAAAGGCAGCTCCTTCCCCACTGCAAGATAAAATAAAAACATTTTAATATGTTTTTCTTTAATATAAACTTTATACAGAATGGCTGAAATTAGAAACATTATCACCTCTGACTCTATCAGAATATGTATCTCTATGTATTTTATGTCTCTTAGTCAAAAGGCCTGAAATATTTTCATACACATCTCAGCGTCCTTGTGAGATAAGATATAGCAATTATTTTCATTTTACAATGAAAAAAAACTGAGAAATGAATAAGTTAAATGAAAGTCATCAGCTGGAAATACTTAAATCTCCAGAAACTACAGGTAAAATAAACCTTGTAAAAGATCCTGACAGCTTCCCTGCTCACGGGCTTGTGTCTGTACATCTCTAATAGTTACATCAAAGTTAATATGTTGAGCTGCACCTTAAAGACCTCAATGCCTATAACGATGTGAAGCTTTCCTATTTCTTAATTCCACCTCATTCGAATTAATGCAAGGGATTGGGTAGTCTGTTTCTCAAATTATCATGACATTTGGCCCAAATTTAATTTTTCTCCAACTTTCAAGTCTGTAGCCTAACTTATAGTCAAGTGCAGAAGTTACACATCCCCACCCCCAATCAGTTGAGCATAAACTGGGGAACAGGAGTATGTAGTGACTTTTGTAGTCCCCCTACAGATCACATTATCTTTTGGCTACTGTAAACTGAGAACATGAACAAGTCAACCAAAAGATTCAAATGAAACAACAATCTTCTGTTCTTACTATTTAATGAAAGCTTAACCAGTGAGCTTTTCTAAAGGCAACAATACCTGAAGAACTTGCATAACCTTGTTGTCTCCAAAGCAAATGCTTATCTGTTTCCATGTGCCTTTCCCCCCCTAAACTTTTTTCAGAGGACTATCAGGGAGTACTCACCTGCCCCCGTCATGTCTGTTTACGTTAACCCTCCCTCTAAAATCACTGCCCCTGTTCTACTTTCCCGTTACAGCTATGAGAGGAGGCTAATCCTGAAGATACACAAGTTAATAATAAAGATATATTCACTCTTCTCCAGATAATGGCTAAAGTGTTTTAAAATCCTATTAATTGCCACACTTTTACATTTGCATAGAAAATTTTGATCTGGTGTAACTGCTGAGCAGGTTAGTAGTCAAGTATGTGGATTAGCTGCTACAAATGTTTCTTGCTTTGCCTGTCTTCTTCATTTGTTTTCCCCTCATAACTTCATTAGTTAGGGACACTCACATTTGTACATGTGACTGCAGTTTTCTCAGTAAGAGTGGAAGCTTTTGACTCCCTTCCTGGAAAGTTCTACAGTGGGGGAACTCCAGTGGACCACATGGAGACTTACAGAAATGGGAGGATTAGTCGGATCCTAAAATGACATCTACACAGTGTCTCTTCAAGGAAAAGAATTTAGACTTCCATCTGCTAGGAAAAATGAGTAAGAACAGCCACTGAGATATCTGAGAAACAGAAGAGAGGAGGCTTCCAGAGGGCCTGAAGACATTTTCCAGTGTCAGAAATGTGAAGAGTATCCAACTAAGGTTCCTAGAAATAGTAACTGTGGGATGATCTAGCCTTGAAGCAAAAAGTTTAATAGTACAGTAGTCATAACCTAAATTTTCAAGGAAGAAAATGTCACTATGTAACCAACCCAGGAAAACACCAAGAAAATTAATATAGAAAAAAGTTTCCCATGGGAAAAAATACAGAGAAGCTCCTAGATCAGCAATATCCTAACTTAACATCTTTTTGTAAAATCTGAGGCATAGATACAGAATAGAAAAGTTAATGGAAGTAGTAAGAAAAGCCACAGTAATAAATCAGAGGGTAAGTGAAGGAAAATGCTTTCTTAATCAGTAGGAAGTACTTTACAGACATCAGCCAATCCAGAGTTGAGAAGCCCTACAAAGGCAGTGAGAGTACCGTAAGGGTTCTGTCAGTGTTCCAGTTTCACACCCATTAGCACCCACTTGAGAGAGAAAATTCTTAAATGTGTGAGGTGGGTGACAGCTCAGAACAAGTTCCTATTTTTATGTTAAGCCAAGAATTTATAAAGAAAGTACTTTGAGTTGCCTGCTCAACAATTTAAAAATGTATTTTTAATGGATCTGCTTGGATTTCTAAAATGCCACAAAATACAACAATTTTAAACTTAAAAAAAAAAGATAAATTAGGGAGTCCAAAGTCAATATAAATTTTAGGTTCTAATAAATATACCTAAAATGCTACTTACAGGATCTGCTGAAAAACATTTTTAAACAAACTAATGGGTCTATCATATGTTTGGGTCAGAAGTTAGGATTATCCTGATATTAAATTTTTATTTTCAGTTCAGTTCCTGATATTAAGAACTAAAGCATCACATATAAAGATTCAGTATTACAATAAACATTCTATTGTAATCTTTGGTTAGCTACAGTAACCAGCAAATAAAATAGCAGGGGAAACTACCTCAAAGATTAAAAAAATAAAAAAAAAATTAAAAACCCAGATAGAAATTTAAAATTCCCCCCACCCTATCATTTAAGCAGTTCTCAAAGATAAACAAGTTCTACAACAAAAGTTTGGTTTTAAGCTGATTATCTGAACCTCAGAACATATTCTCCCACTTTTGAGTATGATTCATAAAAGCCTATGTATGAAACATCTTTTCTGTGTAAATTCAATTACATTTATATTAAAACAAGCTGTAATACTGTAAGCTAGTTAAAAACTAATGAAATTTTATTTTGATTTCATTAGCAAATGGGATGGAAAAGTGAAAATGAAGTCATTCTGGACTCTACCTTGAAGTGAAGTCAGAACTACACGAACTATCCAAGATGTTTGTTTTGGCTGCATTCAAGACCGGAATTGAAGGCATATCATTCACAGGTTCAGCTACAATAAAAGATGCAAGGCCTCAAAATGATGTATTTAGCATGTTTCCACCATTTCACGAATTTCCATTTTCCTTTATTATAGCATATGCAAATTTTCAAAGGCAAAATTTAAAACTCTTCTTGAAGTTCTGGTTGAAAAAATTCACTTAATTAAGCCTAATTAGGGGGAAGGTAAGGGGGAAGCCTAATATAAATATTTAAAAATAAATCCGAGTGTCTGATTTTGCTAAAGCTTTCACAGAACTTCAGTTACATATGGTAATTTTTGTTTCTTTATGAAATAGTTGATATTTTGGTAATCAAGAAAGAATTTCACTGATCAGTAATTAACCCCCCCGCCCCCGTAGAGTTTTTATTTTTATAAATGACTCTGGGGAAGACTCCATTTGCATTTTGCCTTTGAGACCTAATGTAATAGCTGTTGAATATTTTGAATAGTGGGTTTCACAGATAAAAATCACAGAACACAATGTAAGTGAAAATTCTATATTAATTGTAAAAAGTTGTACAAATATGGTTTATGATAATTACTGAAGACACCTGACTTTATTACATGGCCTTAGGGAAGGATCTTAACTTCTTTGCAGGTACACTTTGATACACAATGGTTCAATAATCAGAATCTGCCCTAAGCAGTTTAGAGATGGAACAGATGAAATACTCTTTATTACATAGTTCACAGAATTTTGCCCGAGATACATACAGTGGGCACACTGGAAGCAAGCTCATTCTACTCACTACAGTGACATGCCTTTCCCTTGACTATATATTTTTTCCTCCTTCCTGATCTTTTTCTTTAATTTTTTGTTTTGTTTTGTTTTGTGAGGGTGAGGAGATAGAGGAGAAATAAGGGTAACGGTGAGGAACAATACAAAAATCTGGAGCCAAGGAGAGCAGCTCAGTGACTGGGATGCACAATAACTGTGTTTTTGTTTCACAGGGCAGCCACTGGCAGCAGAAGCAGGGGTCCTGTGGTTATGCTGGAAGAAAAGTTCTTTAGTGGAGCTAAACTTGTATTTAGAATCCTTTTCCCCCAATAGAAATAAACCTCTTGTTTCATAATGGAAGCCAAAGGAAGATTTGTTTTAGGGAAAAAACAGGAAGATTTTTTGTTCTTTATTTCTAGGGATCTTTACGGTAACCCCTTTGTTTTGTAATTTAGTTTTCTTATTATGTACAATCAATAAATCATGCTGTGTAATGATCATAAAACATACCAGGCTTAAAAATATGTATATAAGCCTTTTTATGGTTTAAAGGTAAATTCAAATTGCAGATTAAAGCCAAGCCATCATTTAAATGGAATCAATATTAAAAACACAGCATCTAACAGGGAATAAAAGCTAGAGATGGGGTAAGAGAGGCAAAAAGAAGAAAGCAGGCAAGGAGTTGAAGCTAAAAATTCCACAACATAAAGCTTCAAATTCAAAGCTGTTTTCTCCTATATCATCCGTCTCACAGACAGCTTAGTAGCTTTAAATATTAAGATATTCAGAATTTGTAAGGCTAACAGCTGTTTTATAACAATAATAAGATTCCCTCAAAGCGAATAACCAGGGGAGATTAGATAAAGTCTCCATTTTGTTTGTTTCCAGGAACAGCCACTACCTCCTTGCGGACGAACGACACGGGGCCGCACAAACGAGGGCTTCACCACTTCGAACCACCAGAACAGCTCGGCCATGAACACCAAATAATTACTCTACGTAAGAGAGTTAGGAAAAAGAGAAAAATCAGGTAAGACTTGACCAGAAAGTAATGATAAATACAATTTTATTCTGTTTTACCTATTAAAACACAGGTTTAAATCTCATCCCTTCATACACTGGAGTGTATCTACTCTAGGCTATTAAATCTGGGATGCAATATTCACGCTTATAGGTAAAATTTATAACAGCCATTCAAAACTTCTTTCCTGCTTTTCTCTATATGTCCAGAACAGTAGTCCAATTTACGTGGCAGGCATGGGTACTTCTAACCAGAGAACCTGAGATTATGTGTAAGGCACTCTTCATCCAAAGTCAATACAAACAACTTAAACAGCCTTTGACACTCTGAAGAGTGGCTATCATTTTAAAAAAAAAAAAAAAAAAAAAGCTCTTTCCAGATCCCTAGAAATTTCTCCAAAACTTTATCAGGTATCTACATGCTTGATGATGCTAGCCTCAACCAGGCATGAAATAACCGAAAGACTAGATCGTTATGGCTAATTATTAATAATTTTGAAATGTATATACAGAAACATTATACAATATGTCAACCTAACTTTGAAAAGTTATTAGTAAGTTAACAATGTCATTTGCCTTTTACGATTTATATTTGAAAATGTGAGTAATTTTTAAAATAGCTTAAAATTGTAAGAAAAGACTGAGGGTCCTCAAAAGCACATTTCCAAAACAAGATTATATTTTAGGATGCATACATCATAAAAGCTATAAGCATGAAGAATTACTTTAATTGTAGGCATCTAGCAAGTTTAAAAATTAGCACTATACAAAATCTGTTTTATAATTACTTAAAATAATATGCCTTTAAATTTGGCATCAATAAAATTATCAAATTAGTATTTAATAAGTGAGGTTTTATTTCATATTAAATTTTAGTTTTCTTATTTTTTTTTAAAAGATTTTATTTATTTATTTGACAGAGAGAGATCACAAGTAGGCAGAGAGGCAGGCAGAGAGAGGAAGCAGGCTCCCTGCTGAGCAGAGAGCCCAATGCGGGGCTCAATCCCAAGACCCTGGAATCACGACCTGAGCTGAAGGCAGAGGCTTTAACCCACTGAGCCACCCAGGCGCCCCTTAAATTTTAGTTTTCAAAACTATCATTGGAAAGATGGGTGTTTTCCAATGCCATGCCTTCCTCCTACCTGTTTTTTTGTTGTTGTTGTTGTTGTTTTAAGATTTATCTATTTATTTTATTTTATTTTTTATTAATAAATTTTATTTTTTTTAAACATATAGTATATTTTTATCCCCAGGGGTACAGGTCTGTGAATCGCCAGGTTTACACATTTCACAGCACTCACCATAGCACATACCCTCCCCAATGTCCATAACCCCACCCCCCTTCCCAACCCCCTCCCCCCATCAACCCTCAGTTTGTTTTGTGAGATTAAGAGTCACTTATGGTTTGTCTCCCTCCCAATCCCATCTTGTTTCATTTACTCTTCTCCTACCCCCTTAACCCCACATGTTGCATCTCCACTTCCTCATATCAGGGAGATCATATGATAGTTGTCTTTCTCCGATTGACTTATTTCGCTAAGCATGATACCCTCTAGTATCTATTTATTTTAGAGAAAGTGAGACAGGAGTGGGGGGAGGGCAGAGGGAAAGAATCTCAAGCTGACTCCCTGCTGAACGAGGAGCCCGCCCAGCGGCTTGATTTCACAATCCTGAGATCATGCATGATCTGAGCCAAAATCAAGAGCTGAGCCACCCAGGTACCCCAGTCCTACCTGTTAATTATGAATAATCCTCAAAGCTCTATACACTCTCATTTAGAGTTCATGTACTCTCTGTTTTCTCATATTTAAGCTGGTGACTTTCAAATATTTATCTTTTACCTGATAGTTCCAGAAGGCTATTGTGTATGTAGAAAGTGAAGGAAAGAGAAGAATCAAGGGTAAATCAGGTTTTTGTCTTCAGCAACTGGTAGTACCACTGAAACAGGAAAGACTGGGATAAATAGGTAGTGGAAGGAATGCTGAGTTAATAGCTTTGAGATAGTCATTAGGCATTTAAATGGACTTGTCAGATAGGTGTTTGAACGTAGGAGTCTAGAATGTTACAGAAGACAAGGCGTAATGGTGAACAGAATTTGGTAGGTTTCCTAATTTCAGCATTTGCTTTTAACTATAAATTCCCAGAATACGGGCGCCTGGGTGGCTCAGTGGGTTAAGCCGCCTTCATCTCAGGTCATGATCTCAGGGTCCTGGGATCGAGTCCCGCATCGGGCTCTCTGCTCATCAGGGAGCCTGCTTCCCTCTCTCTCTCTGCCTGCCTCTCTGTCTACTTGTGATCTCTGTCTGTCAAATAAATAAATAAAATCTTTAAAAAAAAAAAAGTTCCCAGAATACTCAAACATTTATAGACAATACATACTATTTTAAGCAGTTGTTGTAATTTGTGACTTTTTTTTAAGAAAGGAAATGAGAATGCTTACTATCCCAAAGGCTGTGTTGGATTCCATCCCGGCTAACCTTCAGAAACTTTATATTCTTAATTATATGCTTTTCTCCTATATATTCTTCCCTTCAATTGAATCTTCCTACTTAGCTTTTTAAAATGCTCAAATCTCTCGTATGAAAAACAAAATGAAACCTTCACTCAGTAAGTTTCTTCTCACTCCCACCTTCTTACCTCTTCTTAAACTTCTCTAAGGTAGACCTATGCTAACAATCTCCTTTCAGCCTTCTGGATCCCTGATCCACTCCAGTCTGGCATCCAGTCACATCATTCCTCCAAAACAGCACTGGCTCAAGTCACCAGTGACTTACATTTGTTGCTAAATCAAACAGATTTTTCAGTCTTCATCTTACTTGACCTCCCAGCAGCATTTGCTACTCCTGATGTCTCCCCTCATTGGAAACTGCCATTCATGCCCACCAGCTACCAAATGACTCCCAAATGTATTAAGTGTACTTACATATGAAGTGGCCTAGAGAGCATTTTCTCTTGGATATCTCAAAGGCACCTCAAATGTCTGGAATTGAACTAGGGATCTTCCCCACAAATCTGACCTTATTCCAGTTTTACCTGAATGCATGGCATCACTATCCCAGTGTGCACACCAGAAGCCTAGGAGTGACCCTGATGCCTCCTACTTTCTCCCTCCCCTATCCAGTTCATCACCAAAGCCTGCAAATTTTGCATCCTAAATATTTCTGGAATCCACCCACTTCTCTTCATCTTCATCATAATCACTCTGATTCAAACTGTTTTCAGCTCTGATTTAGAACACAATAGCTTTTTATTTGACTATTAGGTCAAACAAACTTGAAAATGCAACACCCCTCCCCCCACTTCCACTGCTGTTGGGAAACTGACTATAGGCTACAGAAGGGTAGAGGGTACATGATTCGGTCTCTTTTTAATTTCTCCAGCTTCATTTAATACCACATTCTCCAGAGTTCCTCATTTTACCCATCAGACTATTAAGTCTGGAAGGACAAAGATCATGCTCATCATTGTGTCTTCAGTTTTTTTTTAATTATTTTTTTAAGATTTATTTATCAGAGAGAGAGGGTGAAGAGTGCATAAGCAGGGGCAGCAGCAGGCAGAGGGGAAGCAGGCTGCCCACTGAGCAGGAGGCCTGTTTGCTGGACTCAATCCCAGGACCCTGGGACCGTGACCTAAGCTGAAGGCAGACACTTAACTGAGCCACCTAGGCATCCCATATATCTTCAGTTTTTAAAACAGTACATAATAAATGGCCAATACATACTTATTGAATGAATGTATAAATGAATGAATAAATACATAACAAAAAAGATCAGTTGGCAAAATACCAAACTGTTGACAGGACAGGGAATATCTCTGGTAGTAAGATCATCATGATTTATAATTTTTCTTTATATTTATCTCCATCGGATAATTTCTAAACTCAAAGTATAACATTATATTTAAAGTATTGGCCCTAGGTTCCATTCTATTAGTATAGTTAACTGAAAGCTGTCTATATCTTTTGGAAAAATATTAACACTCAACTAAATTGTCAACTGATACATTAATATTTTAAGGACCTTGGTGTTTGATATCACTAAACATGAAAGAAATGGCAATCAAAACCACAATGAGATATCACCTCACACCTGTCAGAATGGCTATCATCAAAAAGGTAAGAGTAACCCTTGTACGTTTTTGGTGGGAATATTAACTAGTACAGCCACTATGGAAAAGAGTATGGCAATTCTTCAAAAAATTAAAAATAGGACTACTATAATAAGGGGTACTTGGGGGTTGGGGCCTCTGCCTTCAGCTCAGGTCATGATCCCAGTGTCCTGGGATTGAGCCCCGTATCCGGCTCTCTGCTTAGCAGGGAGCCTGCTTCCTCCTCTCTCTCTGCCTGCCCCTCTGCCTACTTGTGATCTCTGTCAAATTAATAAATAAATAAATAAATAAATCTTTTTAAAAAATAATAAAAATAAAAATAGGACTACTATATGGATCCAGCAATTCCACTTTTGAGTATTTATATGAAGAACTGAAAACAGGATTGAAGAGAAATCTGCATTTCTTTGTTCACTGCAACATTATTCCCAATAGCCAAGATACATATGGAGACAGCCCACATGTCTGTCAATAGATGAATGGATAGAGATGATGTGGTGCATAAATACAGTGGAATATTATTCAGCCATGAGAAAGAAGGAAATCCTGCTATTTGCAACAACACTGATGGACCCTGAGGGCATTATGCTAAGTAAAGTAAGTCAGAGAAGACAAATTCTGTATTATTTCACTTATACATGGAATCTAAAAAAGCTGAACTTAAAGAAACAGAGTATAGAGTGGTATTCACCAGGGACTGGGAGGCTGAAGAAATGGGGAGATTTTGGTTAAGGGGTAAAAACTTCCACTTATAAGTGGAACTATAATCTAATGATTATAGTTAACGAGATATGTATTGTATACTTAAAAGTTGCTGAAGGCGTAGATCACTACAAAAAAGAAATGGTAAATATGTGATATGATAGAGGTGTCAGCTAATCCCTGGTGGTAATCATTTTGCATACTTTAAACTTATACAATGTTGTATGTCAATTATGTCCAATAAAGCTGGAAAAAAAAATACTTCAGTAAGATACTGTGTTTGGCCACAAGATGTCAGCATAGTGAGAGAGTTTTCCCAAGTAACCAAATGATCATTTCTTTCTGAATTTATGATGATGAAATAGCAATAAATCTGTTACCATATTCCAGGCATGATACCAAATAAATTTCATTTAAAAGCTTTCTTAACTTTTGGTTAAAACAATCATCCAACTATATATTAACATTCTTAAACAATTAATGCAGAAGAATATAGATATACAGAACATGGAAAACGGATAATCAAGTCAAAAGATGGGTAGAAGACATGAACAGACATTTCTCCAAAGAAGACTTACAAATGGCTAACAGACACATGAAAAAATGTTTATCATCTCTAGCCATCAGGGAAATTCAAATCAAAACCACATTGAGATACTACCTTACACCAGTTAGAATGGCAAAAATTAACAAGGCAAGAAACAAATGTTGGAGAGGATGTGGAGAAAGGGGAACCCTCTTATACTGTTGGTGCGAATACAAGTTGATGCAGCCACTTTGGAAAACAGTGTGGAGATTCCTCAAAAAATTAAAAATAGAGCTACTCTATGACCTGGCAATTGGGTATTTACCCCAATGATACAGATGTAGTGAAAAGAAGGGCGATATGCACCCCAATGTTCATAGCAGCAATGTCCACAATTGCCAAACCGTGGAAAGAGCCGAGATGACCTCCAACAGACAAATGGATAAAGAAGATGAGGTCCATATACACAATGGAGTATTACTCAGCCATCAGAAAGGATGAACACCCAACTTTTGTATCAACATGGATGGGACTGGAGGAGATTATGCTGAGTGAAGTAAGTCAAGCACAGAAAGTCAATTATCATATGGTTTCACTTACTTGTGGGGCATAAAGAATAACATGAAAGATATTAGGAGAGGGAAAGGAAAGGTGAAGGGGGGGATCGGAGGGGGAGACAAACCATGAGAGACTATGGACTCCAAGAAACAAACTGAGGGTTTAGAGGGGAAGGGTGAGCCTAGTAGTGGGTATCAAGGAGGGCATGTATTGCATGGAGCACTGGGTATTATATGTCAACAATGAATCTTGGAATGCTGCATTAAAACTAATGATGTACTATATGGTGACTAACTAACATAATAAAAATAAAGTATGCTTTAACTGCTCTCCCCCAAATCCTAATATCTCACTCAGAAGAAACCACTGTTAACAGTTTTGTGTTTATCCTTCTAATCAACCTTCTTCTATGCATAGATCTGCATACAAATAGAAAAAAACTTTTTTTTTTTTTAAGATTTTATTTATTTATTTGACAGAGAGATCACAAGTAGGCAGGGAGGCAGGCAGAGAGAGGAGGAAGCAGGCTCTCCGCAGAGCAGAGAGCCCGATGCGGGGCTCGATCCCAGGACCCTGGGATCATGACCTGAGCCGAAGGCAGAGGCTTTAACCCACCGAGGCACCCCAGAAAAAACCTTTTTAATATATAAATTACATCATGCTATAATGTTGCTACCCACTTTATTCACTTAATAACATCTTGGAGAGCTTTCTGGATCAACTCAACTTTAAACAGTAAAAGTTTAAACTTTAAACAGCTCAACTATATTAAACATTTTGTGTCCCTCCTAAGATGAATTATTTCCAACTATTAGTCTTAAAATATTCAATGGAAGTCAAACTCATGGTTCTAATAATTTAATATATAATACAGAAAGTGACCAAAGCCTTTTCTATAGACAGTTACCTATTTTTTTTTCTTCTTAATCCCCTTTACTTCACCAATCCTTCTACCCACCTCCCGTCTGGCAACGTACTAGTTTGTTCTCTGTATTTAAGGGTCTTTTTTTTTTTTTTAATTTGTCTTTTTGTTCATTCATCTGTTTTGTTTGAATAAAGTTATATGGTATTTGTCTTTCTCTGGCTGATTTCACTTAGCACTATACCCTCTAGGTCTATCCATGTTGTTACAAATGTCAAGATCTCATTCTTTTTTTATGGCTGAGTAATATTTGTGTGTGTATATACACAACAACATCTTTATCCATTCATCTGTGGATGGACACTTGGGTTGCTTCCATATCTTGGCTATTGTAAATAATGCTGCAATAAACATAGGGGTGCATATATCTTTTCAAACTGCTGTTTTCATTTTCTTTGGGTAAATACCCAGTAGTAGAATTACTAAATTCTATTTTTAATTTTTTGAGGACCCTCTATACTATCTTCCATAGTGGCTGTACCAGTTTGCACTTCCACCAACAGTGCACAAGGCTTCCTTTTTCTCCACAGCCTCACCAACACTTTTTTTCTTTTTGATTCTAGCTATTTTGACAGATGTATCTGTCAGTTAAATATGCCTGATTTAAGAAAATGTCTTTATATCTATATCATGCCCAGACTAAGTCAATTTAAACATCAGGGCTATATATTATTTAATGGAATTCAAAGGTAAGCAACTTAAATTTACTCAATCTTATGTCTCAATGTAATTAATGAAATGAGTTCTTTGAGACTACAGAAATAGTATTTAATTTTCTTAACAGGTGAGTGCCAGAAAAGGCATTAACAAGATATGTATGGAAAGAGTTATTTCCTATCTTCAATTTTGATAAAAATGGCAAGGTAGAAGCCTTCAAAATAAATCAGTGTTTTTCTTCTAATGTGTCAGACAGTGGGGAGTGGGCCCATTCAGGGTCAATAAGAATAGTGGCTTATTTTAGAAAGGCCTTTACCTTTGGCTTTGTCTTCTACCTGTGGTGATCCATGGGTGAAGGAAAGAGAGATCAGAGAGTAAGAATGACAAGAACCATGAGGTATTAGTATCATGGTAAGAGGGGTCCATTAGCAGTTTCAATTAAAGTTGACATTGAAACTATGAGGAGAACGATACAAAGTTGTTCCTCTCAGCCAGACTTAAAAAAAAAAATCTATTGTAAGATTATCTATCCTTGAAACTCTAAAGCGGAACTGGTAAACTTTAGGCAGGTCCATAAGATACGAAGAAACTTCATAGCTGTGAGCTGCTGGGAATACCGAGGTACTAGGTCACATCACAAAATTTTGAACAAGCGACTGCCTTTTAACTTGCAGCTCAGAAGCAGTTACGCGTGACACGTCTCTCTTCACCACTACAAAGTAAGTTCCATCAGAACAGGGAGGATCTTCGTTTTGTTGTTCACTTAGCTATCCCAACCACCCCAAACACTAGGAGCTCAATAACTGTTTCCTTTCAGAACACAGTAAGCAGTGGCCTACAGCTAACAGATAGTGTGTGATATTCTGAAGCAAGGGGACAAATTCATAAAACTGAATTCCTCTTTAAGAAGGTTCATTTCCAGACTATTTTAATATTTTCCTTTCCCTCTTTCTTTCTCTAGGTTTTATCTCAATTCCTGGGACCTTAAGGATTCCTTCTTCCCATATTCCACAGTCCTGCTGAATGCTAAAAGTGAGCGGAACTTCCTTCATGCTCCCAGCATACCATAATAGCATCTGTCTAAGATTCGTGTAGTGACTTATCCTCTATTTTACTAACTTTAGGACAACAGGTCAGTTTTGTACCACAACTTTTCAGTTTAGCTTTGTATTATAAAAGAAACCCATAGCTAACAGTGTATTAAAACCTAAAATAAGCAGAAAACTAAAACTTTTTTCAAAAGCTTATTTGACTGATATTATAGTTAATCTGTAAACTTATAGTGACTATGCCATTTATAGATCTAGTTACATATATATTTTTTCAAAAGCTGAAAGCAAAACAAAACAAAAACACCAAGAATTATTTAATTTACCTTGATGGATGAAGCAGCATACAGCATATCTTCCAGGGTGAAATGGCAACACTGGTTCAAATATTCTTGGCAAAATTCTTGAATCAGCTGTAGATTATACAGGCTATCAGCCAAAGACATGGTTTCTTTCAAACAAATATCTTTAAATAGGAAAAGAGAGAGGTGATGACTGTGGGTTAATTTGATAACATACATTTCATATCATTTTATAATTAGTGGCTTAGTACAAACACATATTTATGTGGAATCTGTTTTACACACACTTACAAATAAAGGGGACTCTACACAGAAAGACTTAGCACTGTTTTATTCAACTACCTTCCTCAGGATTATATGTAAACTTTTTTTTTTTAAGCCTTCATTACTTATTACATACTGTTTTCTCAATATTTGTCACCATCTATCTACAGCCCACAAATATTTCACTGGGACACTTACCCTCTATTCTGACGACACCAGGACAGTAAAAATGAATAAGAGCAGCTAGCGCACAGCCGTCTGTACCATCTTTCAACAAATTTTCTACCAATGGAATGCAAGGCAGTTGCTTGAGCAATGTTTGCTCCTTTCTGTAACGAGCCTATAATATAAAAAAAAGAGAGAGATAAAATAAATAAATACTAAACATAAGGAAAAAACTAGCACTGTAGATTCTAATGTACCAGTAATATACATCAAGAGAAATGAGAACTATTCAAGCAACATCCTTCTTTTCTAAATAATACTAGACATTACTTTACGAAAGTCAAATGCAGAGCAACAGCTTTATAGTTTCAAAGTACTTAGTACAACATTATATTGCCAATTTACATGAAATGACCTTTAGGCTAAATATTTAAATATAAAAGCATCATAAAATGGGTTCTGAACATTTTATATCCAAATCATCATTCTGTTCTTTTGTAGATAATAAAATTCATTTATTTTAATGTTGGCCTCAACTTAGACCACAAGTTCTTATATGCAAAGAGCAAGAGTACTATTTGAGCATAAAGAATTATAAGAATTCTCAAAATTGGGAAGCAGGTATAAGAATACAATACTATTCTTACAGAAAATAATAAGAATAATAAGAAACATCACTTTGAGTAACTAGAATATCACCAAAATACTCTGGTTTGGCATTAAGATAATGTAAATAAAATGTAACAACTTTGAAACAAAAAAACAACCCAACGAGGGTTAGGGTTAGGGTTAGGGTTAACAGAGCAAATACAAGGATTTCTGCTCCCCCTCAGAAAAACAGAAGATTCCTTGGTGTGACTGGATACAAATTTGTAAGACAGTTCTCTAGAAATGAGACATGCTCTTAAATCAGACTACCTAGGTTCAAATCCTGGTTCTGACACTTACTAGCTCTGTAATCTTGGACAAATTACTTAAACTCTCACTTCTCAGTTTCCCCATCTGTAAAATGGGGATAATAATAGTACCTACTTAATAGAACCACTGAAGGGTGAAGTAAGGCGATGCTCATAAAATGCTAATAAGCACACTGCTGGGAACACAGCAAGGGATAACTAAAGGCTGGTCAGTTACTAGCTGTCAGCTCTCCTAAAGCCAAGAAAATAATGCTAAAGACTTAATGAAAATGCATATTGAAGTATTTTATTAGAAAAATTTATGATTATATGGTTTACTGATATTTCAAGGTTTTTAATCAAAACTAATTTTTCTTCTAACTCCATGTGGTTATATATATTTTAATAACTATAATTATGAAATAAAATACTTTTGTGAGAATAAAAATAAAAATAATTTACTAAAAAAAAACATTTACTATCTGGTGGTGAAGTTAAACTTCCTTTAAATGCTATCCCTCAGAAACGTACATGCATTAATGAAGAAATAAATATTTATTCCTACTTCTCTCTGGCTACCCAAGAACAAGACGTATGGAACATTTTTTCCTCTTGAAGATATCAGAGAGCTTGTTCTTCTTCATCAGTGCACACTAGACTATTTAATGGTATGTTCCAAACTCAAGAGTACCTACATTTAGAAAAAAATTATGTATATGCACTATATAAATTCCTTGCTTACTGATTTTAGTATCTTTAGAAACCTGTCTCACTTTGCTGCTAATAGAGTTTAAAATTCAACCATGAAAAAAGAGCAGAGAAGAAGTAAAGGGGAGGGTGAGAAAGAAGAAATCAACCACTAGCATCTTCTAGCTTTAAGTTACCCTTCTCACATTTGGTAAGCCACAGTTCTAGATCCTTACATTCCTTTCCCTGGCCAGCTAGAAACAAAACAGTCTCCGTCTTAGAAATCCTCTAAATTGGCTGGGTGGGCTCATTCCCAAACTTCCCAGCTCCCTAGGAGCAGCCTGTTTTCAACCTATAATCTGAACTGGACTGAGTTGAGCGTTCAGGGTCATGGAATAAAGAACCGAATTGTGATTTGTCCTGCTGCTCTCTGCCAAGCAGCACTTCTATTCAAGGCACACACGCACACAGACTAATGATGCTTTAGCAATAAATGTAGATGATTTAGAACAGACTATCAGGGATTTCTGAGTGGCATACTAAAAACTTTTCCTGAAGATTATATCCTAAAAGATGTACCAAGTAAATAAACTTTTGAAGTCATGTACAACTCCTATTTGCAGTTCATAAAAGTTGTCATCTTTTATACTTGATCTTCTATGGTTTTATAAACCTGCTATATGGAAACATTCTCTGTTCCTTCTTTAAACTGAGAAATCTGGTATTTAAAAGGGGCATCGTATTTTCTATCTTCCAAAACGACAGTGTATTTCTAAGTTATATACTTATTTCTGAGGGTATAAAATACTTAAGTGGTCTAACCACCCAGATTTAATTTTTAAGGAACAGACCTTCAGGTCAAATCAGAAGTGAATATAGTTTAGGTCTAATACTGGTATGGCCACTAAGAAAATGTCACTTTTTTAACCACACAAAAAGTATACCCTTAAAAAAGGGTACAGATAATTTACATATGTAATTCAGATCTACTTTTCCTAAAGTTATTAAAACTAGTAAGAATCTCTATCCATACATGTTTTTTACCTAGTTACTAACAGTCTGTAAATATCAATAGGACTAATGACAGAATGCTTATGCTTTAAACTATTTTTAAAGCTTCTAATCCAAACTTTGGCTAGATTTTATTTTCTTTTTTTACTTATATTATGATTAAATACCTTAAAATCCAATCTCAATGCAGCAACTAACAGAATTATATGAAATGACTATACCAGGGAGACACAAACAATCCCATTCTACAATTACAATTCTGGAGAGCAAACTGAAGTAGCTGGGCAAACTTACTGGAACCAGTTTCCAAAACCATTTGGAAGGAGACTTCAGAGGAAGCAGCAGGGGGAAAAAAGGGAAAGCAAAAGGTAAAGGGAAAATTCATCAGAATGATTTTCAATTAAAAAGTGACAATAAAGCTTCTCATAGTGGAGTTCCAAGTTTATAGTTCTCATAATACTTTTTGATGTTAATTAAGGTTTAAAAATATATAGGTTCCTAATGATAAAGACTTCCACCTTCTCCTCCCCTCATCTCCTCTCCCAACACAACAATTCATTTTTCAGATACTCAGGATAGTCTGTATACTTTGGCAGCAAAGAATTTTATTTCCAGTTCTAGAATCACACATCATATTAAAAAGTACATCTATATCACAAAAGGGAAGTAGAAAGATCAGGGCTGGATATGCAGTCACTATAATGCTTAGACTTTAGTAAACCACGTCTGATATGGCTGTGTTTCTTTCCAAAGAGAAAAGAAGAAAGACTCTATCAATAAGTGTACGAATAAAGCAAATAGCATTGTAGACCTGAACAAAATAATCATTTCTTTCCACTTTATGAAGAATTTCTTTTAATTAATGGGGTAATTGACAATTCTTACTAAGATTTTTACAGTCTCTAAAGCAAGTAGCTACTTACATAAAGAGAATATAAGTGTTATTAATTTTACCATCTAGAGGTATACCAAAGAATATAATTTTACTTCTTTAAAATAATGAATAAACTCATAATTTCAGTTAATATGAACTAATAATTTGATTATCTTTGTACTTTCTAGCACAATTTCTAAGGCCCTAAATAAACATTTATTGAATGAACCAAACTAAATGGGGTCTGAGTTAAAATTCATATTCAACTTTTAGGTAGAAAGTTTATTCTGAAGGGGTACCTGGCTGGCTCAGTACGTAGAGCATGTAACTCCTGATCTTGGGGTTTTGAGTTCAAGCTCCACATTGGGTGTAGGAATTACTTAAAAATAAAATCTTTAAAAACAAGTTTTTCCTATATAAAATTAACTGTAAAAATAAGATTATTTGGAAAATAACATAAATATTTTCAAGAACTTTAAGAATCAGAAAAAAGTCACCTCAAGAATCAGAAAAATACCAACTTTCCATAGAGATAACATGTCCAGTAAGTTTTCCTTATTGCATCAGGAAAAAATAACCGTAATAATTTTGTTGCATGTATTTTAGTCTCTCATTTAACCAGAAGTTTTGGGCAGTTGCAGTTATGATAACCATAAAAAGTACAAAAGAACAGGAGCAAAGGAAGCCACTGAGAATGTGTCAGGATCCCGATGTATAACCGAAATTTCAAAAATAGGGGTTTTCTTGTTTTTGAGACTAGAAAATTTCATTATACACAAACTGATAACAAGAAATTTATTGTGAACTATAAAACAGGAGATATGCAAAGCAGTCTCTGATGGTTCTATATAGATCTCTCTCTATATTTCTTGTAAAATATTCAATAGGACTTTTTACTAATTCAGATGCTCTGGCCTTCCTCCCACCTCTCCACTGACCTAACTTAGTGATAGCAATCCTACTAAGGAAAAAGGAAAACCATTTGGATTGCCTAGCTGAACGAAATGGGACTAAAAAAAGTAGATATACTAAAAGAACAAATACATATCTGTGCTATTCATCCTTATAAACGCATGCTTTCGTAAGCTCAAATATACGCAAAACCTCCTTGTTGAAGAAGGATAACTGTATTTC